TATTATATCCTTAAAGGAAAAAATACAGCTCAGGATGTTGCTAAAAAGTTGCATATTTTGTATGGTGATTAGGCCTTAAATGAAACGCAGTGTCGAAGTTGGTTTGTCAAATCCCGTTCGCGAGATTTTTCACTCAAAGATAAGCTACGTTCAGGTCGGTCAAGGGAAGTTGATGATTATGATATCAAGGCTTTAGTCGAATCGAATCCCCATGTTTGGTGGGATTGGAAGGGTGTGGTATATTTTTAAACTATTAATTCTGATGTCTAATGTAAACAACTGGACAAATTGAATACATCCATCAAACGAGAAGCGACCAGAAGTGGTTAATCGTAAAGGTGTCATACTCCACGAGGACAATGCTAAACCGCACACATTTTTGATCACTCTCTACAAACTAAAGAGCTTGGCTGGGACACCGCTTATGCATTGACCATATAGAGCCCTGAACTTGAACCGTCAGACTACCATTTGTTTCGATCTTTGCAGAACTCATAAAATAGTAAAACTTTCCGCCAACAAAATGGAAATTACTTAATGCATTAAAGTTCATTATAAAATTAAGAAAAAAAAAGTATTTACTTTCTTTTAAAAAATCGCCGGTTTCTTCTGGGGCAATCCAATACATATATATAATTATATAGTTTTATATATTATTATATAGTATATATACATATAAATAGGTTTCTGACCATGGGAAATATTGTTATCATTTAAAAAAATGATTGTTTTTTGATTTTTGGTTGGATGTAAAAGTATATATAAGAAATGAAATCAAATATGAGCAAACTAAAGTTATTCTAACTTGTATATATGTATTTTTATTATGTACTACATGTGCATTTATACATGTTTCTTAAAAATTTTAAAAACAAGTTTTGAAAAATAAGTAGAAAAAACTAGAATTTATTTCATAAATAAATAAAATCAAATTATAAACGGTCTTATTTCTCTTGAGTTCATAAAAAAGACCAAATAATACAAAATTTCAGCATCGTGTTCGTGGTGTTCCCGCTTTGCGTTGAAATTTCGAACAGGCTTTGGGATTGGAAATTTTAGCCACCGCTCTGCGGCGCTGGTACATGACTCACAGTTCAGTAGCGCCTACGGATGTAGACACTCGTGCTTGCGGTTACTAGACATTGAAATCGGTATTTTCGAATAAACAATTGCCTTGCGCGCATGGGAGATAAAATCTGCATTTTTCGGTAGGACGGATCACTCTTTCTGTGACCTTTTCGATGTGTGTTAACGATTCTATGTTAATACATTTGCGTTGGTATTTCAGATTTTGTTGTTTTTGCCATTTAACGCCGCAAGTGTGAATGTTAATTAATTTTCATCAATCTGCGTTTGGAGTTAAATTGTGTCTTGTTGTTGTAATTTCAATTTTAAAAACATACATACATATGTACGTGTATGACAGTTGAAGTGCATTCATTAAGTCTCAATGACATTTTAAAATGATTAATTAAAAGTATTAATAATAAATAACAACAAAAAACAAATCATTAGTTACCAAAAAAAATAAATTAAAAAAAAATATATTTAAAACAATGAAAATGATTATCAAGTGATGCGATGTACATTAAACGATAAAAAATAAGCAATAAATATATCGAAAATATTTTTTGAAAAATAAAAAAAAATTCTACCATACGCATATTCGTACATATATACATAAGTATATAAAGTTTGAAAATTGGCCATGCAAAAGAAATCTGATCTCCATGAAGCACCTCATATTATATTATTTCCGCCACAGCTCTGAAATTTTCATACCACACTTGCTGAACTAATTATCGTTAACCTCAAAATAGGCCTCAGTTGCGGTGATAACTTCTTCATTTGCGTTAAATTGCTTACCAGTGAGCAATAATTAATTCATAGTATTCAAAGAAACTTTTCCCTTAAGGGATTGCATAGGTCTTGAAGGCCAAAAAAAGCTTATTTTCATTAATTTTTTTAAAAGATACTAAATAAAGTATACAATTTATTTTTATTTTACATATAAAAGTACAATATGTGGACAACATTTCATGAAAATTTGTATGAAAAATAGTATAAGTTAAGGGTTGGCAGTGTCGTGAAGTAGACCATCCACAAGAAAGTGCTTTCGCCATAGTCATGAATGATAACTTTTCCAATTTTTATCCGAAACCAAAAATCCAAATTTTTACTTAAAGTAGGTGAATTTTCCTTGCCCCTGAACGTAGAAAAATTAAAAAAATTAAAAATTGAATTTTTATAGCGTTTTTTACAAAAAACGTCATTTTTTGCATAAAATTAGCCCACATATTGGCCTCTAAAGTGAGTTTAAATCAAAGATAAAATAAATACTTCGTTCGCTTGAAAGAATGTGGAAAATTTGAACTTGATCGCTTCAAAAGTCGTTTAGAAATTTTCACCACCGATTTCGATAAAATGGTTTTAAGAAAAACGCGTTTAAAGTTTAGCCATCGGTCAAGCCATGACAAAGACGGTGGGTTATAAAATTCTCTAATTTTTACAGTTTCATTTTCATCGACTTGAAACTTGGGGAAAATATTCCTGACATTTTGTACTTTTATACAAAATATTATCAAAAAAAAAATGAGTTTTTTGAAGTTGTAAGACCTATGTAACACCTTAAAAGATCGAAGGTTTCGTTGCCTCTGCGGTATGTAGCGCCATCTTGTTGAAAGTAACGTTTCCCAAATCAATATCAAAGAATTGCGGCCATAGAAAACTATTAACAATTTCTCGATAGCACAATCCATGCACCGAAAAAAGTAAGGTCCCATGACCCCGCTGCGCCATAATCCACACAAAACACAGTTACACGTTCAGTATGAAGAAGTTTTTCCACAATAAAACTTGAGTTTTCCGAGTCCCAGATACGACAGTTTTGCTTTTTGACGTAGTCATAGAGGTGGAAATGGGCCACATCAATCAAGATGATTTTTCGATGATATATTTATAGTGAATTTAAATAATTTCACTGCTTTGTTGAAACGTGTATCGCTCCATTTTTATCACTGGCGTAGTTTTTACCTGGGAAATGTCAAAAAATTACAGCTTCAAAAGTGGCATCTACCGGAATAGCAGGCTATTCAAAATAGCACCTCTTATTGGAAACTCCTTAATGATGTATTACACGTTCCTGCAGAAAATTATCGAAATCGGGTAGCTATAACATAGTGCTCCTATACACCGATTTTTTCATATAAAAGGCTTTAGCCAAAATTCCTTTAAAAACATCTTCTTTATTGGCGCTGGCACCGCTTATAGTGCTGTTCTTCTCTTCGGCATCTGGCGCTAGTTGGAAATACCGTGTGAAACCAGACCGCTCTCTAGCTGAACCTTCCGACGGAGTGAAGGTGTTCTCCATCTTCTGCTTACACCATCGGCTACTTCATTGAATAATTTCTAGATCTGGAGGGCTTTCGTACGGACTACAGGGCAACGTAGCCTCTGTCTCTTCATTCGCTGGACTATATCAATGTCAACGCGTCGTTCCATCGTTTGTTGTATTTGCCGTAGCCAATGCGCAGTGGACCACAAATCGTTCGTAAAACTTTTCTCTCGAAGACTCCCAGTGCAGTCTCATTGAATGTTGACATCGTCCACGCTTCTACACCATATAGTAAGACACGGGAATAATCAGCCCCCTGCGGGTTAGGGGTTCAAGAATTTACCCGCGGTAAGGCATGCCTGTCGTAGGAGGCGACTAAAATCCAGTAGTCGGGTCTCTATACCGGAACGACCCGGATCTTTATCCGGCCAAGGACTGTCACTCCCGCAACATTCCCCAAAAAGTTCTTTGGGGAATAATTTTGCGGTTACAACAACAACGGGGAATAAGGAGCGACTTGTAGTTTTGTTTTGTCGAGAGAAGACTTTACTCGTCAATTGGTTACTCAGTCTAACGTAGCATCTATTGCCAAGAGTTATTCTGCTTTGGATTTCATGGCTGACATTATTATTGATGTTAATGCTGGCCCCTAGATAGACGAAATTCTCTATGGCCTCGAAAATATGACGGTTAACAATGACATGAGAGCCAAACTGTAAAAGTGCCACAATCAAACTGGAGAAATCGCACGTGAAGGAGTCACACGTGATGGTATCGAACGGCTCGGCGAGGTCATTCCCAATTCTGTCTACGCTTCTGGTGTTGTCCAGCGTAAGTTTACACAGCCTTATAAGTTTTGCGGGAATACCAGCGGCGTAGACAGCTCCTTCAAAAAAAGAGCATCTAAGAGTATGTAATTTTGTACGTCACATACGTATCTACAAATAAACATTTCCACCGAAATATATCATTTAGCACCCATACAATCGATTTGTACAGATATGAAGTTTTGGTCACAAATCCGTCACTAAAGCAGCTAAGAGCAAAATTCTGGATCTTGGTTTTCTACAATGTCAGCTCATTCAAACCGTTTTTTTGGATTCTATTTATTGATGTTTTCAGGTGTTTCCGTATGATTTGGACGACCACTGTGTATTGCAATCGGCATCTCTACGACTTTGTTTGTAAGTCGTTTTCGTTGTATCCAATAGAGCGCGGTCCCTAAAACACTTTTTGAGCTATTACTTCGCTTTAACGGCATTTTCTTATCATCCATCTAAAGCATGAAATTGTTTTCTGCCATTCGGCTAAGGGATTTAAGAATTTCTCCACGGTTATTGTTGTTTATGCCGTTTAGTTAATGTTGATAAGCTCAGTAGGTTCTAAATGAGAGTGTCACCTGGTTGAAAAAAGTGGTTTCGAGCACAGGCCATTTAAGCTTTTTGTTCGACCGAAATTACCGTTTGACGCGCTAAGCTCTCACCTCTTCTATACTTCCTTCTTGGTCTTGGGGACCACCTTCGGGACTAATTCCATATAATTTTTAAGAGTATTTTCTAGCAATTTTCAGGGGACAAAAAAACTCGATTTTTTTTCAATTCTTAAGAAGAGCCTGGCGTTAGGCCTTAAACACTCTAGCCCGTAAATAAAATAAAAACAAATGTAATCGATTTATTACCATCATATCGGTATAGAAATGAAGATTTTATTTATCGCAAATATAGCGCTTACATAATATGTAGAAATTGGTGAATTGCATTTTTTGATGTTTATGATGATTTTTTATGTATAGCGATCGACTGACGACTTCATCGTGTTATTTAAAATTGTTTTAGTTTAAGCATAACAATGCTTGATTTATAGACTCATATGTACACACAATGCGACCTACATGCATGCGAGAAACGTGCTAAACAGGATTTAGAAAAATCACTACTATCATAGTGTTTTACCCATAGATTCATTTTACTTTCAGCGCTTCTTAGATGTGTCATAACCAAATGCACACGTCACATCAACTGCTCAAAGTGACATGAACAACCTGCAGGCAGTGGATTATGTCGCAGACTTGATATTAAACTAATTAACTTCGACATTTTTCTCTTTTTCATTTAAGAATTATTTGCCGAATTAATTCGCATGCCAGCACCGCATCTATAAAAGCCTCCGCAGCAAAAGAATCCCGCTTCATTTCGTTACGGCGGTGTTTGCTCGCTGCAGGTTTCTTGGCTTGTTCCCCTTTACGCTCGGTCGTGTGTAAATGCGTGCGTGAGTGCGTTTGCATATGAGACGTAAATAAATCAACATTTTATCAAGCGAACCTTCGACGACGTTAAATGTTTAGCAAACAAATCAGCCATTAGACACGCTATATAATCAATCAAATGGGAATGTTTTTCACAATGCGATTGAGACGTAAAATTCGATTCAGCGTTGGAATACTATTTCAACAAGTAATGGTTTGTTTGTTCATAATTCATCATTACACATTACACGTACATACACATAATTTTATTGGCTTATTTTCTACTAATTTATGGACAATAAATAATAAGTTGCTTTTCCATCGACTCCAGTTCAAGCGTCTCCTCGTGTTTTGCCTACTCTGCTTTCATATATTTGCACATCTGTTAGCGGTGCATGCGGCTGTGAGACCACCAATTGAACGTGATGCATACACCATTTACTATAAAAACCAGGTGGCCAATGCCAAGGGTGATTTCCATTATGAGTACCAAACGTCTAATGGCATAACCACGAAAGTAGCGGGCAATGAATTTGGGCATAGTGGCGTGGTGCAGTACATTTCGGTGGAAGGCATACCAATAACAATGACATATGTCGCAGATGCCAATGGCTATCATCCAACAGGAGAGCATATACCGAAATTGCCCGAACAGGTGTTGGCCACATTGCAATACCAAATTGAACGCCGCCCGCAAACTGTGCGTCGAGAGAACAAAGAAAAAACAAAGACAATTATTAAAAGGGAAAATAGTAAAAGTGTAATTGGTGTAGATAGAAATAAAAATTAGCCGTAACTAGTTTATAGAGTTTAGGTTTACAAGTGTCTCAGAAATTATTCGAAAAAAGTTATATATTTTTAAATATGGCTCGAAGTAATTGATAGTGATAATTTTGGAAGTATTTTTTATGTATAATTTGAAATTAGTCTTTAGAAGGGCAGGCAAAAATACAAAAGAATTGTGTTCAATATTAGTCGGCTAAGTACACTTAGCCTAGTTTTTTATCTATTTTTTTAAGTTCTTATGTGCATAATTAGGTTATGGATTAATTAAATTTGCTTGGCTATAATTTCTCTGTACAAATATAACGATAAATTTTATAAGAACACACTTCACTGTAGCATTTAAAGCAATTCAATATGCCATAATTACTTGTTCTACAACAACAACAATGATTGTATAAGTGATTTTCCAATAAGAGTTGCTATTTTGAATAGCCTGCTTTTCCGGCAGATGCCACTTTTGAAGCAATAATTTCTTGATATTTGACAAGTAAAAACTACGCCCGTGATAAAAAATGGAACGATACACGTTTCAACAAAGCAGTGAAATTATTTAAATTGACTATAAAAATTTCACTGAAAAATCATCTTGACTGCTGTGCCCTATTTCCACCTCGATGACTACGTCAACAAGCAAAACTGTCACATCTGGGACTTGGAAAACCCAAGATTTATTGCTGAATGAAAAGCCACTCCATTGTCAGGGCGCAAATGTGATTTGAGCGGTTTTTGGTCCGGCGAGGTCATTGGACCATACTTTTTCGAAAATGAGGCTAAAGCAAAAGTTACGGTGAAGGCATTACGCTGTCGAAAGATGATTAATGATTTTTAATAATCGGAACTTAACTGAACAACAGCCACACCGGCAACGAAACCAACGATCTTTTAAAGGATTTTTATTTTTTTTGAATATCAAAATAAATAACACCTCTTTTTGGAAAATCATTTATTAAAAAGACGCAAAATATGTGTAATAATAATTATTTTTGGAAGACGTTGCTAGAAGTTTTCTTTTTAATAATGTATAGTACATATATGTATGTTTAGAGATATAGGCTGGCAAATCGTTTCAAATAAAATACTCCCTCCTGATGAATATTCAAAGAAATTTTCTATTTTCTGGTGTTTACTGTTATGAGACTGTTTTAGTTGAAATGCATATCTATGTACGTAACATATGTGTTCAATTTAAGAATTTCTGGTTCTAACTTAAATGTTTTCGCTGAAGTAGCTACCAAACCGGACATATACAATTCAGGTAGATGCTAACTTAAGCGAGACAATTTTTTTTTTTTACAACAACAAAACTACATTGGAAATGAAGTTTTTGATATAAATAAGTGAAGTCGTGCAAGTTTAATAATTTGCATGGCTGCAAACAAAAAATGTATTAATTAATTAGCATACACTAGCAGTTGAAAATAATAAATGCAATTAAAAAAAATAACAATTAATATTAACAACCAGCATATGTGTTTGTACATATACACATATACGCATATGAGAAATAGATGTGGTAATTTAACACTTTCGAAGTAACTTCCAAGCGTTGTACATACATACATTATGAAAAAAAAAAAACAAAATCACAACACAAACACTTATTAACACATAGTACATAGGTATGTATGTATGTACAAACATGTTTCATAATTATTTCTGTGCATACATTAACCGAAAGAAATAAATTTGAATAATGTGATTAGCAGCCAGCAATATTTCATCAATTTTTGTATACTTGTAGTATGACAATTATTGCATTTTGAATATTCCCAACGATTATCATAAATTTCTAAATTGATTGAAATACTTTTAATTTATTTTTAGCAGTAGATATAAACCTAAACCAGAATTAATAGATTTCTAGCAAAAGTGATGTCCGTTAGCTTCAAAATCAAAAAGAAAAAAAAACATTTAATATATTTCCATATTATTTAATTTATATCATTAAAATGATTACTGTGTGTTCGCAGTTGCGATTTTAAAGGAAATTTAATTTAATTGTAATTTTGAAATCGTTTCTGCATTAAATAGCAAAAAAAAGGAATAAATAATTATAGTAATTTACTTAAGTTAATAAATTTAAATCAAACAAATCTCTTAAAAATGGTTTTTTCAATTTTCAATCATTTTAATGAGAACAAGAAAAAAAACTGAATTTTTTCTGGTATCCCACAGCTGATTTTTTTAATTATAATAAATTATCTAAATACTAAATTTACATATTAAATAATTTTTTTTTGTAAAACAATGGGAAGACCCCTATAGCAGAAGTTTGTGGGTTTAAATTCCAACCAGATCCGCATGCAAAAAATATATAAAATTCTACCTATATGAATTACTTAGAAAAGAAATCTTACTTTTGGTGTAATTCGCTAACAAGGTTTTGCTTTACGTTCCAAGTTATTCACAATGTGCTTGAAATGCGTACTACCCAGTGAACAATGTAATTGGAATGTCAAAAAGGTCATATTAGACCAATACATTATTCCAAAAGAGTCTTTGGACCAAAACACATTTTACAGTCAAACAAAATAAATAAAAATTGGCTTTATATTTAAATTTTTCTAATGTAGTAAGAATAATGCACAATTTTAATTTGAGCTCACCTTTAATTGGATTTTTATGTTTTTTCAATGCATTTGATAGCAAAGCAGGTAAACGACACAGAGGAGATTTTTTAAACTGTAAAATAAAAAAAAGACTCACATTATACGAACTTCGACATACAAATAGTTATTTTTTGTGCCATACCAATTTATATTTTTAGACTGCACTCGATGGACCAGGTGGTTTCACCTGATTTTGCTTGTGACAACTTGGATTGGTAATCCATAAAGTAGGTTTGCCATAACGTAAGTAGCGATGGAAATGTGCGCTGAGTTTTTCGAATCTGTAGTAAAGTTTCCATTCATTACGTTTCATAGCATTGAATGAATCCTTATCTACACGTATCGTCACCACTTGTTTCTCATTCTCTTCACGTTCATTCACAAACTTCCACACCTCCGTGTTCAAGTCTTCATTTTGTGCCGCAATTAAAGCCAATGTGCGATCGAAATCTTGGCCAATGCTCTTGGGCAACGCTAAAGTCATGACATAAGCATCGGGGATGACACGCTCTTGACTGGTTGTCAATTCTGGACCGTCCCAATCGGTTAGCTTTGTTACGATATCTTTCAGCCAATTAACGGTCTCTTCGTTAACGCAATCACATAACAATGCACCAGGCCGCAAATGCGCAACGGCGAATTGTAGTTTGGCATCAGCACCTTTTGCTATCTCTGTTGCGATTGCTTCTTCGAGCGTATATAAAGTATTCAAATCGAGCATTTGATCTGGGAAATCTTTCGGATGCACAGCAATGCGATAATCTTCATTGATTTCAATTTTTCGCGTTGTCCGCCTTCGAATTCTGAGCCTCGATTTGTATTCTTCCACCTCGACTTCTCTAACTTGGAACTCTTTACCCCACTGAGGTTCATAATCCACTGGTTCTGTGTAGTGTTCCCAAGCCTTTTTGGCCGCCGCTTTAGGTTCAAGCCCCTCTTTTACATACCGCAGATACCACCGCACACCCGACTCACACAATCCCTTCAAAAGTGGTTCTTCGGCAGCTACTTTGCTGCTATCTTTAGATGCGCCACTCTTTGCTGTGTCATCCGATGTGGTTTTTTTCTTTTCAGGCCCACCAGCACTTTCTGTGGCATTCCGCTTTTGACCACCAGCTGTTGACGAAGGTCTTGCAGAACTGCCACTAGTTGGCTTAGCGACAGCAGGTCTTCGCACCGCTGCGGGAGCCGACGATCTAATACCTGGTCGGCGTCTTGCTCTTGAAGCTGTCCGCCTGATGCTACCTCTATTTCTAGCGATACCACCACCACCACCACCTCCTCCACTATAGCCATTTGATGAGTTGCTACTTCTCATTAACTGACCTAAGAGCTCAGTTAAAACTTGTTGGTTTTGATTATAATTTATGTATTTAGTTGACTTCATCTTGTTCGTACGACCACCTGCTCGACGAGGCGAGCTCAGTAGTCTAAGTAATATATTGGGGAATTCAAACGGTACACCACGGCAGCGCCCCATGCCGCAGCAAGGCCACGGTTACTCCCTGAGGCGGCCCGGTGTCAGGAAGGCGCCGTTACAATACAGCCGGTCTGTTAAACCCCCTGGCTGCAAACCATCCAATGGGCACGGTATCGCATAACACCCTGGATTAGGGGGGTTGGCAGTACTTGGTCATTTCAAAAAGCAGCCCGAATTAGGATTAATGGAATGCATACACAAGTACTTATACTTAAGCGCATGCATTGCCAAACCCTAATAAGGTCTGATTAGTGATTCGATTAAGCCCCTGCACCACGACAAGGTGACTGCCATCGCAGGGGAAATTTTTTTTCCCTCACTACATTGCCTAACAATTGAACTTGAATATAATTTACCAAACGAAATGTTAACTGCTGTCTGAAAAAAATGTAAAAAATTATTATTTGATTGTATGTTTATTATTTCCTAAGAGTGTACCTCATTTGTGTTGAATTTTTAAACTAAAACTATTTCTGCAAGCATTGAAAGGTTAGGTCAAAAGCTACTACGAATATTTTAAAACTATGCCTATATATTTAATTTTAATATTTAAAAAGTTAACAATTTCAGCCACTATTAATATTTTTTCCAAATATTTAAACTCTTCTTCTGAATAAAAATAGTCCATGAATTAGGAAAAATACTCCATTTTGAGAGGTTTCAATCACTTTTTTAGAAGCTTTATTGATGATGGTTTGACGTTCGGTATACAACTTTTTTCAAGTAATTATATGCTTACGTTATAAAGATCAGCTGCTTTTCAGCTTTCCACAAATAAAACTTACAATTTTACATGTATTTTGCAATAAGAATAAATTAGAAATAATTGTTAGTAATTATTATCGAAACAATTGGCATTACGAAGGTTTTTCACCACTTAATTCAATACATCACGGTGTTTTCGAATCATAATTGTTTTGTTCTCCTGTTTTAATGCACATATAGAACTGCGTAGATGACTGAGGGCGACAATTTATTCGAGTTATTATGCTTCCGTACTGGATGTTCTAGATTGCGATTATTGACACGACTTTGTTAGTTTCTTGTTTAAACTAAACAGACATCCCACTGTAAAATAAATAGCATAAACGGAAATTAGTGAAAAAAAAAATATTTAAGCATTATCACTAAACTAAGCGGAAGTTAATTTTGAAAATTCTTTAATGACAAGCGTAATTTCAATTTTTTAAAAATTGTTCGCACTAAAACAAACAAAAAAAAAAACTATTTTTATAACCATTTTTTTTTTGGTAAATAAAGTGGCCAAAAAATATATTTCAAAATACTCTGTTTTGTATTTGATGACAATACTCGGCAGAATGAAAGATTGTAGGCTAAAATCTTGCAGTAAAGGGAAATTATAGAGAACTCAAGAAATAAGAACTGTCTTTAATTTCACCTTTCATGATTACTTCAAATTTATAGTGCTTTATTTTACGATCAAAAATTAATTCTCATATCTGAAAAATGGTTGGAGAATGATCGTTTTTGGGAGTCAATATTTATGTATTTGTACATATGTGTGTATTAGAAAATCGAAATACATGCTCTTATATACTTTTTGGCATTGCATACATACAAATCAATTCCAAATCGATGTGCGGGAGCTATCTTATATGACATAGTTCTTCGATTTCATGACTAACGGTGACAGTGTTTATTGGAAGATACCAAGTTTACAGCTTTTATATACTTTTTCTTTGACAGAGTTTTGACTAAACAAATCGGCGCATGTTATATAGTCTGACTTCGATAATTTTCAATATCAATATGGAATTCATTGTATGCTTATAGATTGGACGATTTTATGACCCCAAATCTCAAATCTGATAAATTGGTCGTATGTGCATTTGTTGTAGTTACCGTACATACATACTTGGGACTAAAGTTAATATATATCATTCCATGTACATGAAAGGTATAAAATAATCTATTTTTATATATAAAAAAAAATTGAGAAAAAAAGTAGTATTTATACTTAATTGAAATCAAATTTAATAGGGCTACGAGCGAGAAATTTTTTAGGAAACAGTAATGAAATTAAATAAAAGTAATAAAAAATAAATAAAATATTTGTTAGTTACTATGTTAAAGATCGCACTGTAAATGTATATATTTATATTTGTATAGATTACATTATTTATTATTAAATATATACAAGTAGAAACTTTACTTACATATTTCAAATGTGGTTTCAGTGGTTCTCATAACATAATTGCATTAGCCAATTGTTGGTGGTAATATAACCATGGATAATAAATACTCAAATAGAAAAGAATAAATCCTGAATGCAGATACTGCATACCTGAAAAGTATAAAAGAAAAATGAAAAACTTGCAAAGTATATTTATAGTAAAAATAAATTTTAGTTTTAAGTTTGCTTACAATTTTTGTTTCGTTTTATTTGCTGATAACTGGTGCAGGTGGCGGGGATGGTTGATTATCATCCTCGGTTAAGTCAACTGCCATTTCTGCCTTGCTGCTTTCATCAGTTGGTTGTTGTTCCTTCGCCTTACTTTCATCATTGTTAGTCGCGTCCGGCGTCTCCTCATTTAATTGCTTTTGAAGTGAATAACGGACATAGCGGACAAAAGTTACATCTACAACACTGAATTTGTAAAATATCTTCCACCTCTTCTCTTTGATTGCCGTGTGTGATTGTTCATCAACACGTATGGTGAGAGTTAATCTATCACCATCTTCACGCTCATGCACCCACTCCCACGAATCGGTAACTAAATCAGCATTTTGTGCCTGAATCATGGCCAAGGTCTGATCGTATTCTTGGCCAGCACTATTTGGCAATGAGAGTATCATTACATATGCATCTTTTGGAATGTCATCCTCACTACAAACTTCCAATTCGGGGTTTTCCCATTGGGGCAATTTCGGTATGAGATCTTTAAGCCAATCAGCGGTTTGTTGATTAACACAATCAACAAATATCATACCAGGTTTGCGTAGCAATCTTTCAAATTGCAATTTCGTTTCGGTGCTGTTGTTAGCAATCTCTTCGACGATCATTTCTTCGAGAGATGATAGATCTTCAGGATCCAACATATTCTCCGGAAAACCTTTTGCGAAAATTGCAAGGCGTACGTACTTATCTGCGGATGGTGTATTTGGCTTTTTGGCACTCTTATTTTTGTTCTTGCTTGCCGCACCTTGAACACCTGCCGTAAATGGCTTGTTATTGTTTTCAAAAGCCTTCTTACGGGCTTCTTCCGGTTTAAGCCCTTTGTTTAAGAAATGTTGATACCAACGGCCGCCAACTGATGTCAGCACCCGTCTAGGCTCTGCTGGGGTTGTTTTATTCACTTGAGCGGTTGTTGGTTTCGCATTACTTGCATTGCTACTTATTTTTGCGGGCGGCACAGAACTAGGTGGGGCTTTACGTTTTTGTGCCTGCACAGGTTTTGAAGAATTACCTGAAGCAGCACCACCACCGCTGCGATTACTTCTCGATGATAGTGATGCTTTTGAACCGCCTAAGCCTCGTCTATCTTGCGTTGAACTCGATGGGCGATTACTGCTACGCCCTTGCGGCGTCGGCGCATTACGGCTGCTACGCCCTTGCGACGTCTGCGCATTACGACTGCTGCGACTTGCAGATCCACTAACCCATGTGCCACGTGATCGAATAGCTGGTGTTGGTGGGCAATCGATATAACCATCACCACCAAAGTTATTATTTTGTGGAAAACCACCACCACCGCCAAAACCGCCATTATTCATGCCCACATTTGGCTGCATACCACCAAAACCTCCAGAGTTCCCTCCTGGCATACCCATATAGCTATTGCCCTGTTGCATGCCAAAATTATCGGCCATACCAGCGTAGCCACTACCTTGTGGCATGCCACCAAAACCACCACCCCCACTATTATTCATATTCATATCCCCACCACGTTGCATTAATGGCATCAAATTTCCACTACCACCGCCATTACCGAAACCACCGCCATTACCGAAGCCAACGCCGCCACCAACCCCACTACCTTGATTCCAATCATTAGCTTGATTTCCACCCCAACCACCACTACCACCTCCTCCTCCTCCACTGGATGAACCACTATAATTATTCATAGGTCCACCATTACCCCCACTCATTCCACTACCACCCATTCCTCCTCCTCCTCCTCCTCCTCCTCCTCTATTAAAGCTAGAAGGTGATGAGTTTCTACCCCTCACCAACTGCCCCAATAGATCGGCCAAAGCCCTTTCGTTTGATTTATAATTAGTATTTAAGTAGTTTGTATTCATCTTGTTCGTACGACCACCTGCTCGACGAGGCGAGCTCAGTAGTCTAAGTAATATATTGGGGAATTCAAACGGTACACCACGGCAGCGCCCCATGCCGCAGCAAGGCCACGGTTACTCCCTGAGGCGGCCCGGTGTCAGGAAGGCGCCGTTACAATACAGCCGGTCTGTTAAACCCCCTGGCTGCAAACCATCCAATGGGCACGGTATCGCATAACACCCTGGATTAGGGGGGTCGGCAGTACTTGGTCATCGTTCAAAAAGCAGCCCGAATTAGGATTAATGGAATGCATACACAAGTACTTATACTTAAGCGCATGCATTGCCAAACCCTAATAAGGTCTGATTAGCGATTCGATTAAGCCCCCGCACCACGACAAGGTGACTGCCCTAGCGGGAGAAAAGCTAAAGTCCCTACTGTAAAAACTTTCTAGAGCGGAAGAAGTAAATGAAACCCTTTTGTTCTCTTCTTTGCTTGATTTGGCTTTCTAAACGTATTAATTTATACGGCAGAAGCGATATATCCTGCAAAGGTCCTTCATCATTCTATGACTTCAATACCAAATGCAACGTTTTTCACACTAAACAACCATGGTAAGATTATTTACATCGATACTCGATCAGTTACATAGGAAGAGGAGAAGTGGGAATCAGAACTTTATTTCAACTTGCAGCCTACAGCCACGGAGACTTTAATAAGATATGTAATAGCGTTAAAATCCATCCAACTTGAGTTAATTTGGAATTATAGATTTATAGGATCTTAAAAATAATTTTTATATAATGGACCTTTATAACTGCTGAAGTGACTTTCCAATGGCGATTGGCGAATGGCAAAACAAGCTATTTTTTTAACGATTAGTTTATTTAATTATTATATATTTTATATGCAATTTTAATTAATTTTATTTTTAATTCCTTACATTGAGTCTTAGCTTAATAATTTGTAATTATATTTGCTTTCCAATTTATTTAAACTATTTATTTATAACGTTTTTTAAATCATACCCTCCCTTTTTATTTTTGCATTAAATCTTATAAAACCTACTAAGCAACATTCTTGAAAAACATGAGTCATATATAGGTTGTCAAATATCTCTCTTCAGCAGCATATCGCAGGCGTTGATTCGGTCCAGGTTTTTTGCGTCAAATTATGCGGCATCATGCATAGCGTTGTTTTGTAGGTTATGTCAAGACCTTTTAAATTATGTATAGTGTTGCCATACGAGCTCTGTAGCGCTTTGTACATAGCCGCGAAATTCAAAAGACAAAAAAGCGGAAGGGAGATATTTGACAACCTTAATTAATTTCATGTTGGGACCGAAATGAATTATTTTTGTATTTCAACTCTATGTTTGTTTTTGTTACACTAAAATGATAATCCATATAATATTTGAGTGTTAACTGAACTGAATATGATGCCTCTCTTATGCTTAGGAGTTCTCTCTCAAGGGATTGTAATGTAAGATTTATCCGTTTTATTAGAAGTTCTCAATATCTTCACTTACTTACTTTACAGTTACACAAAATTAACTTTATTTATAATATTCAAGTGCCTATACCTAGTTAGTTTTGCTTTTCGAACTGCACACTCTATGCATTATCCCACATTTATAAATATAAATATATATTTCTTTATCTGTACTCATTTCTCACAAGTACCTTATAAGACTCAAAATTTAAAATTTCTATTTATCTCTTTTTTAATATTATTTTATGTTGTTTCACATTATTTTACAACTTAAAAATAACTACAGTAAATTAATAGTTATCTATGTGCTAGCTTTGCAACTGTTCATTTAAAATATATATAAAAAACTATTTTCAGTTGTTTAACTTGCCATATAAGCCAAATTCCGCGTCTCCTGGGTGTTAATCCATCATCAGCTTTTGCTAGTGTGGTACTTTTAGTTCCGACAAACTCACCATATCATGCTGGTGTTTTGCACAAGTTAAAATCTGGAAAAAAAATGTTATATGTAGAAATATATTTATGAGTTCAATTGGAAGCAATTGGGAAGATATTCAAAATGACGCAATTAAAAAATTGTCCTTACTTTGCGGACACTTTTATAAGCAATGTAGCCTAAAATATGTATGTATATACATATACATATATACATATTTACATAATTCGCATTATGAAGACGTCGGTTTTTTGGCCTATACTTTCTGTTTATGGTGAGATTTTTGATGTCTATCTAACAAATGGAAGACTCACAGTACCTAAATATGCTATTTAGGTATTTAAGTACCTATAAGCACTGTTTGTGCTATATCAAGTGAGTTTATTGAACTAAGTTTTCGCACTTTGATTGATGTATCTCCAAAAAAATGTTATTTAAATGCTTAACTTTAAACGAGCAAAAAAGGAAAACGTATTTGTTTGCACAGTCTCAAATTCAATCAAGCTCCTGACCTAATAACCTTCGTTGGAATGGTTTTTCCATGAGCTTTCATAAAAATAATCCTCTTCGTTAATGCTCTATTTCATGCAAAATATAATGGCCTTAGTAATAAAATTTCACATACATACATATGTACATATTAGTCATGATTTAAAATTCAAAATTTATACTTACTTTAGAAATTCCATTCGTCCGCAATAATTGTACAATTAATGCTTTCCTAAAGCCATTCCTATTCCGCGGGTTTATTTTCTGCCGATTGCTGCATCAGATCCTCCAAAGGGAAAAAATCACTACCGGCGCCACCACCGCTACTACTTTCAGTACCAACTCCACCGGCCGCAGATACATTTGCTTCACTGCCGGAAGCACTTGTAGCATCAGCACTGTTAGTTGCCGCAGATGTTGCTACCGCTGTTGCATTCTCGACCGCCGCCGGTGCTGTGCCTTCCTCCGGGTTTGCCGCCTCTTGTTGATGATGTTCATCTTCAGCGCCACCTGATTCCAACACTTGCTGTTGAACTCTCACAATTGGTTGGCCATCGGCAGTATATGACACTGATACTGGTATACGTGTACCATCTTCCCCGATTACATGCGCACCCTCACCCAATTCACCGTCATGACCTTGTTGTATAACCAATTGGCCTTCGGCATTCAAAAGTGAGGCATCAATCAACTGGGTTTCATTATTTTCGCCCTGCACTAAAACCATTTGACCATTGCCATCGGTCATCATTTGCAATGTTTCACCATCAATACCGTCACCAGATTGCAACAAGCCAGCACTTTGGAGTAGTTGCTGAATTTGTTCACTATCCTGCACTAAAATCTGATTGCCATCAGCATCGGTGATGATGTGATTATCCAACTGCAGCAGTTGTCCGTTTTCATTAAGTATGAATTTTATTTGACCACCTTCTACTTGTGCTTGCATCGCCTCATCTAATTCCATGGCTACTTGCTGTTGATGATGATCGCCTTCGCCATCTGCAGCAGTTGCAGCTTGCTCTTGTTGACTTTCGGCATTGGCATCGGCGGCACCTGCAGCACTCGCACTTGCCTCTTCACCAGCAGGTGAGTCGCTCGCACCTTCGCCATCTTTTGTCGTTTGTGTTGTTTCTTTTGATTTGTCTAAATCCGCTTCTTGCGTATTCTTATCAGCACTGTCTGCAACTTTCTTTGACTCTGCAGCGGATAAATCATTTTGCGGCGCATGTGTTTGTATATGCTCCTGGGAGTCATTATCGTCATCTAAGCTGGGCATACTAACCGGAGCAGAGATCTTTCTATCAGCACTGGTACTACTATCGTGATCTTCCTTAACTTTGCCTTCCACTTTGGCAGTCGTTGAGGTCATGGCTTCGTCAGGTTGGTCTAACACTGGCATATCTATGCTAACGGATACCGGGGCAGTAGTTGTAGATATAGACTTTATGTCCTATATTAAAACGAAATAAAAAATAATAATTATATTTCATAAGTTAAAAAGCAATTTAGGAGTGAATTTAACATGATCATAGAAATGAATTAAGCTCCGTTCATTAATTACCTCGCTTGCCTCTGATGCCGCTCCAGCATCAGGTTGGGGAATTGTTATGTTAAACGTGATGCCTCCCGAACTTTGTTGTGATGTAATAACTAAGTTGTCATTACCGCCTTGTCCAGCTGATGTAGTGGTATTAGTTACCGAAGCGGCGTTTGCTGATGTCACAGATATTCCATCGCCAACGCTGTCGTTCTTTTCCGAGTGCATTTTTTCAAAAATACTTTCTATATCAGCTTCCATGCCGCTACCACCACCATGATGACCTAACAAATCGCCACTATCACCGCCTTCGCCCTTGTTATCGTCATTTAGAAGTGCGGCAGCACTCGGATGTAGCATATTACCACCACTTGAAGTTGCGGATGTAGATGTTGTAATTGTCGTGCCACTGGTGCCACCACTACCAACACCCTCCTTATCTTGACTATGTGACTCCATGTGTTGATTATAATAGTGCTCTTGTAAGAATGTCAATGAGCATATGTGGCATGAAAAGAAGCGTATATTGTTGGCTGCGGATGCAACGTCTGTGGTACCACCACCACTACTTACAACAGTATTTACAGTATTGTCACTTAATGCCTCGTCAATGGTTTCTTGTAATAGTTTTTGTGTTGTTAGAAGGTTTTGGGTAGTAGCCTGTGATTTAGTTGTCGTTATTTGTTTCACCACCGGCGCAGACTGTGTAACAACCTGCTGATGTTGCACAACGGTGGTATTTGTGGTTTGCTGCTGTTGCTGTTGTGGCTGCTGATGTACCTCGAAGTGTTTTACCAGTAATTCACGTTTGGGGAAGGACATTGAGCAGGTGCCACATTTGAAGTAATTAGGCTGATGTTGTCTAGCATGTTGTGTGGCTGCATCACGTGTCTCAAAGCGTTGGGCGCATAACCGACATTTAAATGGTTTAGGTTTTACACCAGATAAATGTTTTCTAAAATGCTCATCGAATAATGCCTTATCTGTGGATTTGAATTGACAATGATTACATGTGTAAAGTGGCGTTGTTGCTCCAGTAGCCGAATCACTGGTAGCCTGTTGCGTGGCTGGTATCGTCGTCGTACTTGTCACCACTACATTGGTACTGTGATTTGCTTCCATGTGTTTGCGTAATGCCGGCTCATTTACAAAATTTATATGGCATACCGCACATGTATTGTCCATAGTGGTGTTGTGTTCCCGCACCATATGCTGCTTCATGGTACCAAAGTTCGGGAAGATTTTCTTACAATTTTTGCATTGGAAATTTTGTGATTTGCATGTCTCATAGTGAGTATTAAATAACCGCATATCAGATGTCTTATAATCGCATGTTATACACTTGTAAATTCTGGTAGTTTTCCGTTGAAACGTTTGTGTGCCTCCAACTGAAGTATTTTGGGTTCCGCTTGGTGTGGATATTTTCATTTGTTGGACTGCACTTACAACTAATAGAAATATTCAGAGAAACAAACAAAAAATATAATTGGAAAATGGTTCCGATTCGTGTTATGATAGAATATGTGATCATAACCAATTTTAAAACGAAAACTTCAAAGCGTTCTCTTACGTCTATTATATCTATATATGTATATATACAGTTTTTAAATACAACTTTATAAATTAATATTAATAGCAATATTGCAGCTAGTTAGAACGTTTACAAGAAGATACTATAATAAGTTCATACTACTGGTTTCTGATGAATGCTTAGAATAAAGTAGTCTGAAGTTTGAAGTATTTGAAGTGAAAACCAACTACAACTAATAGGGCGGTCTTGGGAACTGGATTAATATTGACGAAAAGTTGTAATATTTGCGATAATAAAAAATTTTGCAAGACATTAATACTCAGAATACGTGAGTCAAAAAAGGCATATCCACAAAAAATTAAAAAGTAATATATAATCCATACCTGGAGGCGACTGCTTTCCTACACTTGAATCACCAGCTACTGTATGTAGTACTTTGCGTACGCGACCCACATCATTACTTGTTTCTTCCACAGTGCGTGCAGCTGTACCACTATTTAGCTTCTGCATTTTTATCGGAGGCGATACTGCCCCACCACCACTGTCATCATTCAAACCATACTTCTTATGCAGCAAATTCATTAAATTGGTGCGTACACGCTCCACATCGTTCTCCAACCGATCCAAATAATTAAGCAGGTTTGTACAACGTGCGCAAACAACATCGTCTACGCTAACGATTACCATGAATGCATCACCTACCAGCTGACCAATTTTATTCGGGAACTTAGTAGCCGTATGCGATGTTTGTGTTTCGGTGAGCAAATTTTGTTGTTGACTTGCACCCAGTGCATCATCGCAGACATAGCAACGATTTGTGCTATTTACATGTGTTGTCTGTTGTTGAAGACTATGGGTGTTGCTGGATGTCACAATGCCCGAGCCAACTTTTTGTTTTAATATGCGAGGCTGGCTAAGACCGGTAACGGTCACTGCACCGCTCGAGTGCAAGTTGTGAATTTTGCGTACTGCGTTATTCATCTGATTGTTCATTGTTTGCTATCTGACGAAACCGGAAGATAAGCCACCAAGACGCGTCTAGGCGCCGTCAAAGCTGATATTTTATAGCGTTAACAATAGTACGAAAATTCGATCCAATTAATTTCTACCCCCAAAGATATTCCTTTAAAAGAAAAGAGAATTTATGTTTGTTAATGTAATAGACCAAATAAAAAAAAAATTATGTATTCATATATATATATGCATATTTTCTATTTTACATTAAATAAAATTAATGCAATCAACATTTCTGAGTTAAAATAAGACTAGCTTTTGTTTCTTTCAAATATCTATTAACCCATTCACTAAATGCTTTTCGTTCGATTTACCCCTAAATGGATCTCAGTGTTAGTTTCGTTCAATTTAACGAATAAATGACACATGCTTCGATACAAAAACCCGATTTCGTTTCAGTTTATTGTACAACGGAGTGAGCGAGATAAATAAAATAAATTATTGACCTTATAATAGAGAAGGACCACAATTTGCAATCCGGCGACTCTTTTTATCAATTGGATATATATTTATACATTATATGCAATAATATATATTTAAATGCATTTCTCATTTAATTAAAGGCAGTTCAATATATATTTTAAAATCAATTGATTATTTATATTGGAAGTCATACAACAACCAAATCATTTTATTTTTGCTAATAATTATTGTCATTGGACTAACATTACTGGAAAGCCGATTCAAACCCCGGGCCAAAGGTTTTTTGTTCTTGTACAATAAAGCAAGCGCCATTTTTCCGACTCGACTCCAAACCAGACAAATAGATCACAAGGCAAATGAGTTTAAAATAAGTCTTGGTATCTACAAATATTTGACACTTCAACAATAGATCAATAATTTGAAATGGCGGGAGAGTTTCATAATAATTCTTTAATATTACATTAATTATTACTGGGTCACACTTTTTTAACACACACATATTCCTTTTATTTCAAATATTAAATTAAGTTAAAAAAACTCCCTATCACAAACATTTCTTTTCATACCAGCACTAATGACACGATAAGCCGCAAATATAACCAATTTTACACTGGGCCACTACTGTACGAGACATTTCAGCAAGCCGTACAAAATGAAAATTAACTTAACGAACAAGAAATCGAAGCACGAGTAGATGTAGCGAAGAAAATTGCCGCCTCTGTCTGCCTCCGCAATATATTGCGCTGATATATTTTCATATTATTACGCTAGACTTTTTCACAAATATTTTATTAGAATATTTTTCACTACCTCCATATTTAAATTTACCTATGCACTCAATTTAATAATTTGTATATTATATTTTACTGCTACTGTTCCTTAAATACACCACTGCGGCCAAAAAAAGGCAACACTGTACAAAAATTGCCGTTGTAAGAAGAAAAATATTCCAAACGCCTAGAAGTGCCGTACCAAACTGTCGATGGCAGCAAATTATGGCCGCGTTCGTTCGATTTTTCATCGCCAGCAACACAAATTCAATTCCAGAATCTATGTGCGAGATAGAGACGTAGAGATATGCGAAATAACTTGACGAACATCAAAAATTCGACGAGCATATAACCAAAATGGCCGCCTTGTAGTTTTCGTTAAATTTCTTTAAAAATGCCAAGCGTGATTATGGCAGTATGAAAATGCCGCCTGTTCTATTTTACTGCTTTTCTTGTTTCATCCAATTAAAAAGTACAAAATGAGACTTTTTCAAATGTTCTCAATATTATTTTAAGAACATATTTTCCTTAATATTCACTTAAACACTGAAGAATTTAGGAAAAAAACTAGCAGATAGTCACCCTCAAGTATTAAAGCGACCAATGAAGCGGCGTTTTGCTGCAACAGAACAAGAGCAACGCAAATTTAAACGTATAGTTTGTCCCACGCACAAAACACGTTCTTTGCCGATCGCTGCTTTCTCAATACTGATTGGCAGAGCGACGAAGACACGACGCAGAGCGTTCCTCAGCCGACATCGCCGTCAACAGAGCACCGAGGGATGCCAAGACAACTCAAATTTCTGGTTCACGTTTTTCTACATATTTACATAAATATGTACATATGTATGTGTATACCCGTATTTACATGGATATATACATATACATATGTACATGAATAGCTTGCTGTACTTCAACAAAAACAGTGGTTAGCATATTACAAAGTGAGTTAATAGTTTTCTTTTACATTGTTCTACAAGCAGAAGGCGACATGAAGTTAAAAATTTTTTAGGCATGTTTCCTGTTGACATACTACATATATATGTCTAAATGACCTTTATGCAATGTCTTCTAGTCTAATGTTTTACCTCGTAGGCACTTTGAAGTTGCTAAAATTTGCCGGCTGGAAACTATTCCGCCAATTTATACTCGCGCGCACACATGCATATGAATGTATGAAGAATTATCAATTGTTGACGGTAAAATTTTTCTGTTCGTTACATTTTGGGTATATTCAGACGAATTTTGTCAAATTGTTTGAAATTCTGTAATCTGTAAAAAAAAAAAAAAAAAAAAAAAAAAAAAAAAAAAAAAAAAAAAAAAAAAAAAAAAAAAAAACATGTATATGATTTTATAGCAGGATAAGCCCGCATCCACCTTACTTAAAACCCATTTTGAATTTAAGATTGCTTCGCTTATACTATTAAATATTTCAATCGTTATTTGATTGGTTATAATTGGGGTATACATATGTCTACTTCTTGTTTTTTATTTGTACACATTCTTAGTATTTACTTATGTACATCCACATTTCTTGCACTCTGATCATACGTTTTTACCTTACGTTACGCCAATGAGTACAGGTAAAACTATTAACTTCATTGTAACGAATACCTATGTATATTTTTTCCATCACACGTCCGTCGCTATGTTTATACTTATGTATGTGAGTATTTATGTCGTAATTAAGCTTTCGTTGCCAAGCAACCAAGCATGTCACAATTTTGTAAACAAAAAATTAATGCTACTTTAAGCTGAAAAATCATTAAAACCAGACAAAATATGTTGTAAAATACACAAAGGCTTGTTGAAAAACATTTTTCGCGGAGTGAAGTTTAAAGAAGCTGAGAGCAATGCGCGGAGTACTGAAATGGGTGCAAAAAATTGAATTTCCCAACACTAAAGATGACCAAGTTCGGTAAGTACAATATCATAATATATAATCCAATATATTACAGCCAAAAACTATCTTGGTTATTTGTATAAAAAGTGTACACTCACTATGCTATCACCCGGATGGCAAGCAACTAGTGGTTGCAGCTGGTGATCGAGTGCTTATTTACGATCCGGATGGAACCCTGCTGAATACACTAAAAGCACACAAGGATGTGGTAAATTGTGTTGCATATGCCCGCGATGGCAAAAAGTTTGCCAGTGGTGCTACAGATAAAACTGTGATTGTGTGGACACCACAATTGGAGGGCTTATTGAAGTATTCGTAAGTATATTTCATTACAATTATTCTAAAAATCATGATTGCTCATTACACTGCAGGCATAGTGACTCCGTACAGTGTATGTGCTTTAACCCAGTCTCACATCAGTTGGCATCTTGCTCCCACAGTGATTTCGCATTTTGGTCTGCAGATCAGAAAGCCGTACAAAAGTATAAAATATCAACACGCATCAACTCATGTTCATGGACAAATGATGGACAGTATTTAATACTTGGTCTAGCTAATGGTAGTATTTCCATAAGAAGCAAAGTAAGAAAGTTGAAATAAATTTAAAACTAAAAATATATAAATATCTTACCACTTCTCCTGCGCACGGGCATTTAGCTAGGTGAGGAAAAAGGACGTTTTGAGCGCCCAGGTGGCTCCAGTAGTAATGTATATAGTCTGCAATGCTGTCCCATATCCAGCTCTGATGTCATTGGTGTAGCCGACGGGAGTCAGACTCTTTCCTTTCATACATTAAGTGGCCAGATGATTGGCAAAGAACGTGCACTTGGTTTCGAACCACTTTGCTTAACATACTTTCCTAATGGGGAATATTGCGTAGTGAGTGGTTGTTCGGATTCATTACATTTCTTTACCAAAGAAGGTGTTCGCTTGGGCACACTCGGCGAAGGTTTCAAATCATGGATATGGTCTGTTGCAATACATCCAAATGGCCTGTCATATACCATTGGCTGCCAGAATGGTACACTCGCTTGCTTTAATATCGTTTCCAGTACCGTTCACGCTTTGTATCGGGAGCGCTATGCATTTCGTGAAAATATGTGTGATGTCATCATACAGCATTTGATATCAGGACAAAAAGTACGCATCAAGTGTCGAGATTTGGTACAAAAAATAGCTATTTACAGAAATCGTTTAGCAGTACAGTTGCCAGAGCGTGTAGTCCTATATGAGTTGAGTTCAGGCGAAGAACAGCCAATGCATTATAAAGTAAAAGAGAAGATACAGAAGAAATTCGATTGCAGTTTGTTGGTGGTATGCGCACGGCATATAGTGCTTTGCCAAGAGAAACGTCTGCAAAGCTTGGATTTCAATGGTGTATTACAACGCGATTGGATAATGGACTCGTTCATAAGATACATTAAAGTTAGTGAAATACATATAAATATCTTATTGGATTTGTTATTCATATTTATATACAGGTCTCTGGTGGACCAGCTGGCCGCGAAGGGCTACTTGTTGGTTTGAAGAGCGGACAGGTTTGTTCCTTAATGTCTACAAATCCACATCTACCTAATTCATACCACTACTTCACAGGTATTTCGTATATTTTTGGACAACTCACTACCACTAATGATAACCAGCGTTGTATCAGCAGTGCGGTGCTTAGATATAAATGCTAATCGCACGAAAATCGCGGTAGTAGACGATACTGGTCGTTTGGTAGTGCGGGATATAGTTAGTGATACATTACTTTATCAGGTTTTGATATTAACTCAATGTCAATTTTATTTGCTTAATAATAACAAAAATCATTCACAGGACACGGGTGTAAACTCCGTAACATGGAACACACACTTGGACTCAATGCTTTGCTATACGCACACAATCGGTGGGCTGAGCATTCGTGTTGGTAGTCTCCCACCACGTGGGCCGCAAAATATGCTTGGAGTAGTAGTGGGTCTTTGTGGTGCTACGGCATTCTGTTTGCGCGGCAATGTTATGCATAACATACCTCTAGCGCTAGGTGCTACAATGTGGCAATTTGTGGAAGCAGGTCTCTTCGAGTAAGGTCAATTTCAAATATACCGAACTTTTCAAAGTTTTAAAATAACTTAAATAATCTCTTCCAGTGAGGCTTATCAAGTTGCTTGCTTGGGTGTGACCACAGCGGATTGGGAGGGTCTGGCGCAGTCGGCCTTAGAGGCGCTTCATCTGCATATAGCACGCGATGCTTATGTAAAAGTACGCAATCTATCATGGTTGCAGTTAATAGATGAGCTATGTGAGAAACAAAAACGTGGAGAATCGCCTAAAGAGGTTTTACAAGGCGAAAGTTGTGCATATGCTGGCAAGTATAAGGAAGCTGCACGCCTCTTCCAAAAGTGTAATCAGCCAGTGCGCGCATTGGAAATGTATACGGACTTGCGTATGTTCGATTTGGCTCAGGAATTTATAAAAGATGGCTCGGACGAAGCGAAACGTGATTTGGTGAAAAAGCGCGCAGAGTGGGCGTACTCGGTGAAGGAACCGCGCGCTGCTGCTGAGTTGCTCTTATCAGCTGGCGAAAACCAAAGAGCTATCGACATTGTTGCCGAACAGGGTTGGGCAGATATGTAAATGCATACACTAAGTTAAGGAATTTTTATAGTGAAGTGTACATTTTTGCAGTTTGTATGACATCGGTCGCCGATTGAGTTTGAGTGAGAGAGCACCACTGGAATCAGTAGCATTCAATTTAAAACGTTTAAAAGCATTGCCTTTAGCTGCTGAAATATTTAAAAAACTTGGCGACGAAGCGCAAGTCATTCAGCTACACGTTGAAGCTCACGATTGGCCGGAGGCTTTCAGGTTGGCTGAAAATATGCCCGAGATGCTGCCCACGGTGAACTACCAGCATGCGCAATGGCTCGCTGAATCAGATAAATTCATTGAAGCACACGAAGGTAAACTATGATAATATCCTTATGAAAGCAATAGTTAAAAATGAAGTTCTTTATAATGTCTTTATACTTAGCATACTTGAAAGCGGGACGTTTAAAAGATGCCAATCGGTTGCTGAAACAGCTGAGTACATCGGCAATCGAAGAGGAACGCTTTCTGGATGCCAGCTACTTCTACTGGTTATTGTCCAAGCAGTATTTGGACATCTATTATAAGAAATCGTAATTATGAAAAAACTCAAACTTTCACTTTCAAAATCAAATCAAATTTTTTTACTTAAGAGAGCAAACACCAACAGACCATCATTACAAGGAGTACCAAAGCCATTTACGCATCGCCAAAGTGTACTATGCTTATAGCGTAATATTCAATTATATGAAAGAACCATTCACAACATATTCACCTGTAAGTTTGTTTAACGTCAGTCGTTTCATATTGAATGAGGTGGAGTACAAAGGCACACCAAAAGGAGTTAGCTTATTGTAGGTCACAATTTCGTTTTCAGTTCTTAATGAGACAGTAATAATAATTTTAATTTCCAGTGCGGTATTATTCACTTTAGCAAAACAGGCGAAATTATTGCAGGCTAACAAGTTGTGTTTGGTTGTAAACAAGCGCTTGCAGTCTCTCAAGCCACCGGCGGGTGTACAGGAACAAATTGATGTGAGCTACATGAAAGCTTTCGAAAGTCGCATAATTGTATTTGTATTATTTTGTATCCACTTCAATTCATTTGCAGATAAACTACTTGAATAGTAAAGCCTGCAAAAGTGGATTCAATGATCCGGAAGAGCTTTTACCACTCTGCTACAAATGCTCAAATTATAGCCAACACTTGAACGGTAATAATTGTCCGACTTGCAAGCAGGATTATATATTTTCATTTATATCATTTGGTAAGTATGTACGTATTGCAGTTGCTTGCAATAAATACTAAAATTGAAAATTTTTTTTCTCAGAGATACTACCATTAGTAGAATTTCACCCAGAAGTCGATATAAGTGATGCAGAGGCAGAACGACTATTACTCGCGCCACCTAAACCAGCAGAGGAAGGTGATCCCTTCAGCGAGGTACACATATCTTAGTATAGAATCCAACAAAATGCATACTTATGTACAAATTTTTATATACAGGATGTTGCTAGTGCTTTACCGTTAAGTTTGGATCGAAACGCGTTGCGTGCTATAGACCCAAGTCACATTTTAATTGTAAAACGTCGTGAAAATAATTTAAAAAATATTTACTACCGCAATATTTTACCAGATTTACAAGTAACTTTTTGTCCCGAATGTTTGTTGGTATGTATAAAAAAAAAACAACAAAGCGGTTATTTAAGACTTTTTTACATGCATCATTTGTCTCTACAGGTATTCTATTCGGAAGATTTTGAACTACAAGTATTACAGAAGGGACACTGTCCATTTTGTCGTACAACATCAGAGAAACTGTTTGATGAATATTTATAATGGACTAAGTATAAGATATTTATGTAATTATTCATGCAATAAAAAAATAAAATTTACAATGTAAAATTTTTCAACAACCTAAATATTTGTATATGTACCAACTCATAAGCTTTATTTATTAATAATATACTACTAAAGAAAATAATTTATTTTACTAACCCCATTTGCGGTAATTGAGAAGCTTTTATGACCATGTCTCTTCTTGATATCGTCGGCTCTTAATCATGTGCTCCAAATATTCTTCATTGCCATTGATCACTTCAATAAAAGCTTCGCGCACTGCTTTCGGCATATTATTTGAGGAACCAGCCACTAATATCACAGCCATTTTGTCCATTATTAATTCACTAAGTCGCTCTTTTTGCTCCTTTATCAAATGTTGTACATAAACTTTGCGTTCTTGATCCCTTGAAAAGGCTACAAATGTTTCACAAAAATTCTCTTTTTGCCAATTGCTAAAGTCCTTAGAAAAATGATAGTCTTTCGTTTTATTTCGGCAGCCGAAGAAAACAATTAAATCACTTATTTTTGCGCCAGTATTTTGTTGTTCTTTTCTGTATTGTATCACACTTCGAAATGGTGCAATGCCCGTACCTGGCCCTACCATTATTATAGGTGTTGACGGTTCGCTAGGCAATGACATTGTCCCATTTTTAATGACACCAACTACGGTACTACCAGTAGGCAATGATTTTAACCAATTCGAACATAGACCAAGGCGTTTCGTAGACATTTTTGTTTTGTACTCAACTACCGCTACTAGAAGATCAAGCGAAAGTGTTGTTGGCATTGATGCAATCGAAAAACTGCGTGGTTGTATTACAGTAAACATCTCAAACAAATTAGGTAATTTTAACTTTGAGGTACTATGTCGGAAGTCTTGTAAAACTTCTAGTATTGTACGTCTGGGTCGATTAACGTAATTTATAAGATATTCTAATCCCTCAATAGTAGCGAACTCTTCCAATTTTTCCTTTTCCATCTCATCTTCACAATTTAATGAAAGCACTTCAAACGCTCTTTGGTTTGGACAGGCACTTAAGTCCCATACATACTTGGCCAACATGCCAACACTTATGGGTGCAGCGTAAACGAATGGTACAGGCATATCATCGTATGCAGATTCTAATTTCACGATAGTTTTTTCATTGAAGTCCAAATTATGCTCTTTCACCAGTTCGAAAAATTTTAATACTTGTTCATCTGAATTAGACGGCACAAGTTCTAATACATCACCAGCATTCCATTTAACATCAGAAGGGAAATCAAACCTTAAAAATCGTACATCTTGAAAATGCTCCACGTGAGTTGTTCGCCGATTTTCCTTTAAGGTTAGGCTAATTGCTTCGCTACTTAAAAACCATTTTGGCATAGAATCTTTGAACAATGCCATTTCTGGCTCAAGGCAATTAACATTCCATTTAAAGATATTCTTCGCTTTTCCACTACACTTTGAAGGGTGAAATGGTAACAATGTCACATTAAAGAGCTGTGTAATCCATGGTAAAGCTGTAGCACCTAGTCCATGATCGTGTTGATCATCACACAAGCCCAAAGGTTGTATCGCATGGCCACCGAGCTGTATTAAACGTTTATTCAGCTTTTTAGCGGCAAAATTAAATTTTGCATAGCTGGAATCACCCAAACCCAAGCAAGCAAATTTCAAATATCGCAGCGAATCAACCGGCAAGCTTCTTCGCAGCAAAAATTTCCATGTTTTTCGCATGTTGTCAGGTTCATCGCCGTTACCCGTTGTGGCTACAACAAAAATTGCCAATTTTTCTTCAATTAATTGCTGAACTGGATACTCGTCCATGGGTAGTACTGGCCCGCTGAAACCCCAAGTTTTTGACTCACGCCAAATCCGTTCTGCCACATTTTGCGCTGTACCCGTCTGACTTCCGTACAAAACAACCATGCGCATTTTTGCAATTGCACGAATTATTATTTTTTTAATTTATTTAACTTGTGTCAATGTAGCAAATCAATGAAACAAAACAGGTAAAAATCTGTAGTAAATTCGGAGAACTCATTCAACGCTCTCTGGTAAATTCGCCTGAAGATTTTGCTTATGAATGAAACAGCTCTATATGAAATACATGTTGTCGTCGCCTGCATTAAGTGCAATGTAGACTAATGCGACAATCGACAAATATTTTAATGACAATGATTTACAAATTGTATATTAATCAGGCTTGTAACTTTATATAAAACATAATTTTCTCTTCCCAATGTTTCAATGTGTGCCATATTAGAATACTGTTTATTATACAAAAATATAAATAATTTAAAGTAAAATTAGTTTTTGTAAAACAAACCCACGTTTCATCGGACATGCGAGGGTGAGATCACAGGATAACCACGCTGGACTACATGAAGGGATGGAGGATTTCCAGAAGGTTTAAAAAATGGTCAGAGCTACATGCTTTTGAACGATCTCATAGTAACTAGTACGATGTTGATCTGATGTTTATTGTAAGCTATTAATTACATTGTTGTAATTATTATTAAAAATACTAAATATTTATATGTATTTTGCTATTTGCTTTATTAAATTTCACTTTCATTAGCGACTTGCTAGATTTGTTCTATGTGCGTCTTTCAACTATCCGGGAATATAAAAAAAAATCTTTATAAAAGAAATAGTTATTGTATTTAATGGCAACGCTAATGTCCTTAACAGCTGATAGTATTGGCCGGCGATTCGCAAAATACACTTTTTTATTTACGTTCTGTTGTGCAACAAAATTAATAAAAATGTTACGGCTCGTTAAAAGGGCATTGGTTGGAAATGTTACGCCAATAAAAATAATAGTAAAACCCCATGACAATACGCCCACAATTAAAGGATTTTCCATGATAAAGCGAAGATGGCAATCTACTCGAGGAAATGGAACCACAACCATGCACTTCGAGGGTAAAAAAAAAGTAACACCACTTGGTTGGTTCTTGTTAGTAAGTCGAAGTTTTTGTTGGTAAACAAATTTTTATTAAAATTTTTTTTTCACATTCATTAGCTGGTACCTGCATCAGCATTCGGGCTTGGCTGTTGGCAAGTAAAACGCAAGGCTTGGAAAGAGCAATTAATCAAAAACTTGGAGGAACTAACGAAAATGTCACCTGTACCCCTTCCCACTGAGTAATATTCTTACAAAACATACTTTTAACATACGTACCAATTCATATAATTATTTTCAAAATAGTTTTTCGGAACTTTCAGCAATGGAGTACCGTTTGGTCACTGTGAGGGGAAAATTCTTACACAATAAAGAACTTCTAATGGGCCCACGTTCATTCATACGACCTGATGGGAGTGAAACTGCTGGTGGCTTGTTCTCTCAACGTGATGCAGGCAATGGCTATCTTGTGATAACACCATTTCAGTTGGCAGATAGAGAGTAAGTTTAATTGCTTTATTTCTGAAAATAATTTATTTACATGCTCTTTCAGATCATTGTTCCTTTGGAGTATTTCATTTTATTGTACAGACTCACACTATATAACGCTAAAAAGGTGACGATTTCCGAAATATCACCTATGACCTCTTCCGTTCCAAACTGTTCAAAATCAATTAATCCAACAGAACAATGTTAAGAAAAAAGCTTCCAGGAATTACCAAAAATCCTACCGTTCGAACTAAATTTTCTAACAACAAAAAGTCATTGCCTTAGAATATTTCTTAGTAAGATTTAAAAAAAAAAAAAACTGGTAAATACAATATTTGGGTGTCTTGAAAAGAATACTGATGAGGAAAACGTTGTTAGGCCCAAAGTAGCAGTTATAACTTCTCATTTCCACACAATTGTAATTTAATAAAAAAAATAATGTAGTCTGGGTCAGCTCAATAAAATTGGGTAATCCAATTTAATTTAATTTTACTTGAATTGGGTAAACCAAAAATTATTTAACTTTACTATCTATTTATTATTATTTTAGTGAAATTATTTTGATCAATCGCGGTTGGGTATCCAGGAAGCAAGTTAAACCGGAAACACGCATCGCAGGACAAATAAGTGGTGAAGTAGAGTTAACTGGCGTGGTACGCATGGCCGAAAATCGGCCACAATTTTCACCTGATCATAAGGGAGGCGTTTTCCTCTATAGGTAAATTAAAACAGTTGCCAAATATAAACATTTTGTTTATACTTATACGTGCGCTATATTCTATTCATATTCACTAATATTTCCAGAGATTTGCCAAAAATGTGTGCATTAACTGGTGCAGCGCCGATAATGTTAGATGCTACATACGAGTCTTCTGTGCCCGGTGGACCAGTTGGTGGTCAGACACGTGTTACATTAAGAAATGAACATTTATCGTATTTGCTTACGTGGTTTAGTTTATCAGCAATTACTTCATATCTGTGGTATCGTCAAATATTCAAGAGAATACCATATTAAAAATCAAAAACATATATATATATATATATATATATTTTATTGCAAAAGTAGCTCACATTTTTATTAATCATTTTATTTTCCTTTCTCTTATTCATAAAAATATGTTTCATTACTGTGTACCTACATTATTGGAATTGCATACATATTTTTTATTGTTTTAGTGTTATTGACAAAGAAATGAAGTTGAATGGGAGGAAGTTCGTGCTCAATACTTGATTTTGTATAGGAAATACATTATTAATTAAAATTTAAAACAAATTCCATTGATGTACGTATGTATGTAAGTACCGTTGGCAGGAAATGCGATAACTAACAGTATATGAATAGTTTGGTTGAATTATACTTGGCGTGTTTCAAACAGCAACGCATTTAAAGATTATTTGTATGCTCAATACAACGTGATTTCTATAATGAACTCTTACAGTTGCACACTTGCACACATACATTCTTGTAAATATATTTACAATAATAAATGTTACAGCAGAATATTAACAAATACTGTATATAGGCTTTATTTAATAGTTTTGGATCTTGTAATTCGTTTATCTCAACAGCTTGACCTGGTCACGCTGATGTAACTCAGTGACTTCGTTAATTCATATGGAAAACTACATATGAATGATCGTTTCCTACAGTTGTGGCACGCTACCCCAAGAACGATTTAGACCAGTGCGTTGATAACGTTTGCCAATTGTTTGCACATGAAAACCAATTTGTTGCAAACGTTCATGATCCAAAATTTTGCGACCATCAAAAATATATGCTGGCTTCATCATTGATTGGTAGATACGTTTATAGTCCAATGTCTAAGGAATAAATAATAAAAGCAAAATATTAAAATGTGTTTGTATTACTCACTCGAATGTTTTTGTAATTATGAATAACTTACCACAAATTCATCCCATTCCGTGCAAAGTACAATCGCATGTGTGCCACGCACTGCACTATATGGATCGCTATGTATTTGCACCGCCTTCTTCACACTTTCCGGTGACTCCGTTACACATGGATGCGTTAAATCGTCTATTATTTGCTCAGGTTCCACTTTTGGATCGTAAATATCTAACTTGGCACCCTCTTCCAGTAGCGTTTTGCATACCGTTATGGCGGGTGTCTCACGTGTATCGCCAGTGTTTTTCTTGAAAGCGAAACCAAAGATTGAAATGCGCTTATCTGAGACGGTATTAAAGAGGCTTTCGATGATCTGAAAATAACCCACATACATTTAATAATTTCCTATACAATACATATGGTATGCGATATGTACATATGTATGTACTTCTTTTATAGTACCTTTTGTGAAAACCTCGACTTTTGATATTCATTCATATCGATCACTTGTTGCCAGTAAGCCGCCACTTCGGGCAAATTGAGTCCCTCACATATATACACCAGATTCAGAATATCCTTTTGGAAGCAACTACCACCAAAACCGACTGACGCTTGCAAGAACTTAGCGCCGATACGTGAATCGAGGCCAACAGCACGCGCCACTTCAGACACATCAGCGCCCGTAGCCTCACAAACAGCCGATAGGGAATTTATGCTCGATATACGTTGCGCTAGGAATGCATTTGCTGCCAATTTTGATAGCTCTGAACTCCAAGTATTCGTTGTTAGGATATTCTTTTTGGGTATCCAGTGTTCATAGATCCAAGATAATTTTTCAACTGCTTTGTGACCCTCGGGTGTTTCCTCGCCACCAATTAGTACACGATCCGCATGTACCAGATCCTCAATTGCTGTACCCTCGGCAAGAAATTCAGGATTTGAGAGTATGTCATAGCGTATGCCTGGCCGTTGATTGGCATGCAAGATGTGCATAATACTTTCGGCAGCTCGCACCGGTACGGTACTCTTCTCCACCACAATCTTATTTGATTGTGCGATTTCAGCAATCATACGGGCAGCACTCTCAACATACTTTAAATCGGCGGCACGACCTACGAGTATGTGTGAGGGTAAAATTATATTGGTGTTTGAGGTTCATAGCGTGAATTTGTATGTAGCTATATATGTGCTGTATGTACATACATATATAAATGGATTAGTTTGACAATAAGTACCTTTGCCATTGCCAAAGTTTTTTGTTGGCGTATTTACGGAGATGAATATCAGATCGGCTTCTTTGATGGCAGTTTCAATATCAGTTGAGAAGAACAGATTTACATTGCGGCACTTTTTGACGACATCATCTAGACCGGGCTGGAAAATGAAATAAATATGTTAATATTATATATACATGTAAACATAATTTACAATACTAATACTAATAGATTTGGAGGTTAGATAACCTGTCTAGTCTCACTTAGGCGGCACTACGTCCATAGTGTTAGAAGCTAAACTAATTAAGTCCAAGCTGTACTGCTAAGCTCTTTATTGTGTCTCTAGTGGAAAGAACATTGCTGTTCTCTTTTCGAATGAATGTTGACGTTTGAGCTCTTTGCTGACGGAAGGACGGAAGGTCCTACTTTTTTTCTGCGCCCAGTAAGCCCAGCTTTTGTTTGTGAAATGGTAAACAGTCTCAGAGACTGCGTGCTCTACTGTCTCCCTACAATTCCTACACCTGTTGTCCTACATCAGACCGAGATTGAAGACATGCAACGCCAAAAGGCATTGCGCCCGTCAATAGTCCTACTAGCAGCCTGTAGTCACAGACTGTTTCTCGCCAATAAGAACTTTGTAAGTATAGCATTACATGTTTTGGACATAGATTTCGAGATTCTAGAGCCCTTTGTCCGTTCCTAAATTCTATTCGCCTTGCTCCTGCTTCACTGCCCTCATTGAGAGTGGTAGGCCCATTATCACGACCTGTTCCCAAAGAACAACGTTCTCAACCAGTTAATTAATTACCTCATTGCCTTCATTACCCATAGGATCTGGAACCCAGTCAATATGAATGCTTCTTTCCTTAGACAGTCTTTTTAGCACCTCTTTACTTAGTGCCACCACAGCCGACTTCGTGCTGCGGCCGTCCGAGCTACTACTACTTTCATAGTAATTATTTGAACATGGAAGTTTCTTGTCTACAGTGGGGCTCAGTAAAGTGAAGCCCCCGCACTCCATTTTTGGTTTTTGATCTGCAAAAATATGCAGAGGGTCTAATTAAGGGGTGACCCCCTTTTTGGTTAGATCTTTCTGCAACTTATCAAGACGTGTATCAAGATCTCTTAGAATAACCACGTCCACGGCCCGACAAAGCATAACCGGGAAAATTGCATCTAATTTATATTCCAAAAGCGTCTGTATTACCATAAGAGCCTTGTCTACACGTATGTCGTGTCCTTGGTAAATACTTTCTTTAGTCTTGCGAACTCTGTTGTGCCTTTTAAGCCGTGGCATATAAAGTTTTGCTACGAGCTTCCCTTAAATTGCCTTATAACCTTTTTTATATAACCTTAATTGATCCATGCATCCATAGCTCTCCTTTACTTTCTCCTAATAGAACCCACTTCACGTTAACACCAAATCGGCTTACTCTTGCTCTCAATGTTACCGGCTATCCTAAGCTAGGTTAGGTCCACGAAAGGAGAACGTGAACTGCTATCGTGGCGATCTTCCCCACTTCCCCCCTTCGCCGTAAGACAATTACCGCTACAACCAGCAAAATCCTCGGCTACCCTCCTCACCAGCTGGACGAAGGAGTGCAGGCTCGAGCTCGATGTGAAATGTTACTGGCAGTCACATTCGACAGCTCGTATTTCTTCACTCCGCATACGACTGGAATTGCCATAAAACTCCAGTGCCGCATAAAAACCCTCAAAGCGATAGTTCCCTAAAACCTGGGGAACGTAGTAACTACTGCAGGGAGCACCCCAATTGACACTTGCGAAAAGCTAAACAACCACTCAGGCACACCGGAATTGGAGTATTCGACCTTACACCGAGAATTCGTTAGCACCTTCCTGAGCTCTCTTACAGTAAATAGCGTTCTCGGAGTCGAACCACCACCTACTGTCATTAGACTTAGATCTGAATATTGTAGTAGATTAAACTTCTACTAATCCAGACGTATGCCCTGCATGCAATGAGGCCCCGCACGACTCTAACCACCTTTTTGTATGCCCCATAAATCCAACTCAGCTAGCCCCCAAATTACCATCTCGTCCTAACCCGTCGAAATAGATCGTATTCCGGACCTATCGTTAGATGAATTCGATGGCTTAGACTGGTGTAGCTTGCTTCTAAATGGGGTTAGCAAACCGCTACAACAACAACAACAACAAACATAAATTTGTCGATCAAATTCGAAAGCTGTATTTATGTATGTATGTATATAATTTCTACTACTTTTCCCAAAAGGAAAATTTTAAGAAAAACTTTAATTCCCCCATACAACCGAGTCGTTCGGATATTTAATGCAGTGGGGCCATGCGAACTAAGCTCTACCCTTATTTTAAATTTATAAATTTTTTTTAAATTTTATTGCCAAATATGCGTCGATTTTCGTGAGTATTTGACTGCATGCACGTTTACACAGCTACAAATATAACTAAATGCATACACGTGTGCATGTATACACGTACATATGTATGTATGTACATACCTAGAAATGCACATTTGTTTGCACATATATGTATTTTTGGTAGCACATGAAATGAATGTGAATACTCTCACGAAGTCACTATTAAATAAATAAGGTTTCAGCTAACATAAGTATGTATATATGTATGTATGTATATATGTATGTATGTACACGTGTAGAGGTGTATGTTTAAGCACCTGCTATGTAGAAATAATTTTCCGTTTTTCGTTGCCCCTGGAATGTTTGAAGATGCTTTCCCTTTCTCCCATTGGCTAACCTTGAAATGTTTAATAAAACATTTAAAATTCCAAATAAAAATGAATAAATTATTTAATTGAATATTATTGATTGCTATTTTTTTTACAAGAGACACATCTAAGTAAGTGAGTGTGTGTGTGTTTATACTTTTTGAATCAGATTTAATTTTCGCTTTTCGGTTTTTATATTTTCGCTTTAAAGTTTTATCTTCAAAAACTAAAGTTTGCCCGCAAATCGAAACATAAATGAGATTTTCCGAAGAGATTCGCTCCTCCTTCACTTCAAGAAAGAAAAAGTCTCCACAAATTAAACTTGGTAAAGAGCCACCCACCTACATACAGGATGCTCCATCTTTTTGTCGGTATGTGAACGCTAAATAAATTTCACATTTACCAACAGAGCGATTGCATCAGATATGTTTTGGAAACGTCACTTCAGTACAATTTTTGCCATGAGTCGCTTCACTTTGAAACAACGCGCTGACATAGTGACAGTTTATATCGAAAAGAGTAGTGCCATTGTGTTCACTCAACGCACATGTGGGAAAAAATATCGCAGCCAAAAGGCACCATTTTACAGGTCACCGGATTTAAGCGACCTCCCCCAAGTGACTGCTGTATGCCACAAATAGCTTCAAAAATTTCATGTTTGGGATCTTGAATCGACGTTGGCCTGCTGGCGTAGACCTTAGCTTTCACATGGCAAGGTGTTAAATCACAAGATCTCGGTGGCCAGTTTACCTCTTCGGGCGATAATACGGTACAGAAACTCTCCCTTAAATGATCGATGGTTTCGTTGCTGGTGTAGCAAGTATAACCATCTTCTTGGGAGTAAACTTTGTCCAGATCTATACCATCCATCTCGGATGGATATATTGGTATATAGATTATAAGAATTCTGATATACAATATAAGTTTTTTGATCAAAAATAACGATTTGCTTTGAAGTTTTATTTATAAATTTACAAATTATTGTATTATTTACTATTATTATTGGATGAGTGCATAAGTTCGTGCCCGATTCCGCTGGATGCCGTTCGAATTGTTTGAGAGTGGCGCTCGTGAAAGAAATATATACATATTATATATCGTTGGAAAGGTGACAGTCCGTGACTGTAAATCAAGCATAAAATAACTTCATTTTGATTTGAGTTGCTTAGTAAAAAGACGCATGGAAGATGGACAACGAAAAAAATCATATGCGTCATATTATGTTAAACGAATTCCGCAAAGGAAAAACAGTAGGCGCTGCAACTAAAGATATTCGCGAAGTTTATTTGGACCATGCTCCAGCACTCCGCACAGCAAAGAAACGGTTCGCGAAATTTCGGTCTGGAGATTTTAACCTCGAAGATCAACCTCGCAGTGGACGGCCTTCTGAGCTTGATGACGATGTTCTAAGGACTTTAGTTGCGAATAACTCACGTATTTCGACGGAAGAGGTTGCCAGTGAATTGAACGTCAACAAATCAACTGCGTTTCGTCGTTTAAAAAAGGTTGGGTACACTTTGAAGCTCGATACATGGGTGCCACATCAGTTGAGTGAAAAAAACAAAGTGGACCGTATGTCAACAGCAATTTCTTTGCTTCGACGGATCAAAAACGAACCTTTTTTGGATCGGCTCGTGACTGGTGATAAAAAATGGATCTTGTACAACAATGTTCAACGCAAAAGAACATGGAAACAGGCACACGAAGGGGCGGAACCGATATCGAAAGGTGGATTGCATCCATTGAAGGTACTGCTGTGCATTTGGTGGGATATCCGAGGCCAATCGCAAAGGAGTTCTTTTCCATCATGACAACGCCAGGCCACATGTTGCAAAATCGACCCTGGCCAAACTGAAGGAGATGGATTGGGAAATCATGCCGCATCCCCCATATTCACCCGACATTGCTCCTTCTGACTATCATTTGTTTCGATTGCTGCAGAACAATTTGAGTGGAAAAAAAATTTAAAAATGTGGAAGACGTCAAGAACCACATTGACACCTTTTTCAACGAGAAACCGCGCGATTTCTATGAATCAGGCAGCCGTAAATTGGTTGAATGTTGGGAGTGAATTGCCGAACATGATCGCGAATACATAATTGACTAATAAAAGCGCTTTCTTCAAAAAAATTCAATTTTAATTTGCACTTGAAATCGGGCACGAACTTATGCACTCATCCAATATTTATTCAAAATAGGTTCCATTTGACTCAACACAACACGTTTGGAACGATCAACCAGCGCATGCATAGAAATGTTCTTCAGTACCTCGGTTACGGCTGCTTGAATGGCTGGGATATCATTATAAAATGCTCCCTTCATCTTGGTTTTCAGTTTTGGAAATAAAAAATAGTCACATGGTGATAGATCAGGCGAATACGAAGGATGATCGATGAGAGAAATCCCTTTTTTTCATTAAAAATTCGAGCGAT